GGGGGGGGGGGGGGGGGGGGGGGGGGGGGGGGGGGGGGGGGGGGGGGGGGGGGGGGGGGGGGGGCGGGCCTGGTTGGGAGAGGCGGTGGGCAGAGGGCAGCCTCGACTGAGGGAGGGCGCGAGCGAAGGTGCCTTCCTCTTTGCACCTCTGAGCCGGGCAGATGCACGGACTTTACTGCGTGGGGTCTCCAGCGTGTCCAAATGAAAACACAAACGACTCGTGCTTTTAAAAGCCCGCCTCCGCTGTCTCCTGGATCTGAACGGAATCGCCCTCCCCCATTTTCCCTACCCCTGCTGTGAACACTCCCGCTGCCCTTGACGCCCACGGTCGATTGTCCCGCAACAATCACTCTCCAGTTCCTCAGGCTAATCTAGGGGAGCAAAAACACAATAGCCCCCAGATAAAGCCCCCCTTTTCCACCTGAAATGCCAAATTGGACCGGCCAGAGGAGAGTCGGCTGAGGCCAGCGCTTGGGGCTCAGGGGTGTGGCCGCCTCTGGAGATGGGCGACAGAGCAGGTGGCTAGGTCTGAGCCCCACGTACACCACTCCTCGTCCGAAAAATGCTAAGGCCCGGCGGCCTATGCATTCAAATGGGTTAATCTCATGCCCGGCTCTTGACTTTCCTGGGTGCAGGGGCCGGAGTCCCGGGTCCTTCCGCTGTGCAGCCTGAGGGGCCCCCGGGAGGAGAGGCCGGGTCTCCAAGCAGCGAGCCCCCGGCTAAGGGGCAGGGGAAACGCGGCGCCCTCCCGCTGGGGCACCTCAATACCTTCCTCTTCTGTGGCTCCCACCTGTCCCCAAAACCGCCAAGGCTAGGAGGATGGAGAGAACTAGGGGGTGTACCTTCCCTCCAGGATGACTCCAATTCCTTTGGGCTCACCCTCAAGGGCAGCTCTTTCTTTCCTATCCAGCCCCGGGGCTCCCCTCCTGGCTACCCTCTCACGTGTGCATTGTTCAACTCGAAAGCAGAAATCCCCTGTTTCTCTCCCTTTCCGCCACACCCCTACCTACCCAATTTTTATCTCGCAGCAATCAGGGGTTTTCTCAACCGGGGGAGAGGTGGTAGTGGCGGAGGGAGGGCCAGGATCCCTCGGAGCCGGCGGCCGGGGCTGGGGCTGGGGCTGGGGCTGGGGGCGGAACGCAAGGGGGTAATCTCCTAGCGCATCTGTTCTCTCTCTGACTGTCCACAGCGCCCGCCGCTCCACCAGGCCCGGGCAGGTTTCCTTCCGAGTTTGAAACGGTGACAGATGAATAAGCAAAAAAAGAAAGAAAGAAAGAAAGAAAGAAAGAAAAAAAAGTAAAAAGGGTAAATCAAACCACATACTACCCCCAAGGCGATGGCTCATTTCACAGGGAAGGTAGACCCCGGACCCGGGGCGGGTGAGCGTGGGAGCCGGGAGGAGTTGCGCGTGCGGGTTTCCCCTTGGACGCTTCCACCTCCAGCATCTTCCCGTTGTCAGTGAGTTGGGGTCTCCCTTTTTATGCATTCCCCCAAGTCCCCTGTTCGCTGGGTTTTATTTGGAAAGACCCAGCATTGCCGAGCCGGGATGCACAGCCGGTATTGCCCACTGCCTGCTGCTTTCTCGTCTCTGCACTTCAGCTCATGCGGGGAAGAGTAAGGGGACCTGGGGGAAACTGCAGAGACATAGGATATGTGTTTAATCTGCGCGGTCCGGGGCGCCGCGCCGGGGCAGGCTCCCCCGCCGTTGCGCCCGCGCAGCCGGGGCCGGGCGGTGGCGCCTTGGGCCGTGTCCCCGGCGTAACCCTCGCGCCCGGCAGCCGGCGAGCTGTTTATACAGCTTTACCTGTGCTATTCTCGTATCCAGTAAAAATCCTCGCCCGGCCACGGTAACCTAATCCGGGGGCCGAGGCGGAGGAGGGGTATTGAGGCTGGCTCTGGTGGAAAGGGAGGTGTGTACGTGCCACAGGCAGGGGTCTCAGCTTTGCTCTTCCTCTCCGGATAGGCAAGGAAATTCGGACGTGGTTCGGGTGACCGAGGTGGGGACCCGGGGCTAAGGAGGAAGAAGGCCGGTTTCCACGTTTTCCTCTCCCGGCTTTTCTCCTGCTAACGCGTTAGGGACCCGTGCGGCTGCCGCAGCCCAGGCGCACGCTGCCATGAGGTGCAGTGGTCCCGGGCCGCCCGGCGGGAGCTGGCAAGGCTGGGGACAGGTTTCCCGCCCTGGCCCAGCTCAGGTCGCTCTCGTCCCCCTTTCAACTCGCCCTAGTCATCGCTTTAGAATCCCGACACCTAAAACAAAACGGGCAATGGAAGGAACCAGGCAGCCTCTCCAGTCTTCCCGAGAGCCCTGGTCCAGGCTGCTGCCGGCGCACGGAATCGAATTAAACGCCTCTTGGTTATTGTCTCTCACTAATTGCTCCAACAATGGCTACTATTAAAATGGAGACACCCAATTAAAGGCCTCGCCAGGACGCGCTCGACTCGGGGCAACGCTCTGGCCCCCGGCCTGAGGCTTGCAGACCGCGGAGCCGCGAGCCGGGCTGGTGCGGGGCGCCGGCGCCGGCCTCGACACCTCTGGCCTCCACTTCCTCCCCAGACGCACAGCGACAGCGGCCGCTTCACACCATTTTTATTGACCGATCACAGCCAAGGAAGATTGATCGAGCTAGAATGGGAATGGACTTCTCCTCCCCCTAGCCCCGGCTCGCCAGGGCCTCGGGCCGCGCTCCAGTTTCTGGCCTTTGGTGTCGCTCTGCGCCCTCCCCACCCCCAGCTCCGCAGGTTCCCGGCTTCATTTCTGTCTTTAACAGCGCGGCCGGGTCCGCCCAGGCCGGCGCCGCTGCTCCGGGGGGAGGGACTCGGCGGCGCGGCCCGGCTCCGCTTCTTTCAGCCGCCTGCAAATATTTGCTGCCTCGCTGGAAATCCGACTATTTCGCGCGCGCTCCGTTTGCAAAGTCCTTAAGTAAACACGCTCAAATGACCGCCCCGGGCGGCCGGAGGCACGCTCACTCCCCCTGCGCAGGATTAGTAACTTTAGGACTTCGACCCCGAGGCTCCGCTTTGCTGAGTACCCTCGGCGGGCAGAGCACGGGCGTCCCGGGGCCGCTTCTGTGGGCACCTCGGCCCCGCGGAGCTCGCCTGGACGCGCCGGTCGCCACGCTCGCGGGGTGAGGCTGACCGCGTGGATCTCCGCTCTCTGGGTCCGTGACCCCAGGGCTAAGCCAGAGGGCCTGCTCCTCCTCTCTGCGCCACGGCCTCCGGTCTCTGCGGGACTGGGTTTCCCCACTTCCATCGGGACAGGGTCTCTGCGCCCCCGGGAGGGCGGGTAGGAGGGACCTGCCCACGGGCATATATTTGTGTGTGTGTGTGTGTGGGTCCCAGCTGACCCCAACCGAGGAGAGAAAGACTCCATTTCTTACCCTTTCCCCAAGAGGGCACACATACCCTGCTCAACTTGACGCCTAAAGCAGCCGCCTCGAGGCCTGGGGTTTCAGATTGGCCCAGCTGGCTACCGCCGCCCGGCGCACCGCACCGGGACAAGGCTCCTTGGGGGGCGGTGGCCGTGCCGCCGCCTGCTCGGCTCCGGGATGCTTGCCCCCGGGGTTCCAGGCTTCCAGGCCATTCGCCAGCCTCTTACCCTGGTGAGGGAGGCCCTCCGTCCTACAGGAGCCGGGGGCCTTGCGGCGGCAGCGGCAGCATCCTCCTGGGTTGTCTCGTTTCCTCCACCGGAGCTCCGCCGGCTGCTCCCGGGGAGGAGGGGGAACTCACTAGACCAGGCCAGCGTCCCCCCGGGTGCCTGGGGAGGGGCGCGTCAGGTCTGCAGGAGGGCGCTGAGGCGGCTCCGCAGGAGGCCGGGATCAGCTTTGTGGGCTCTGGCACAGGGAGAATCAGGACCACCTTTCTCCCCTTCCCCCGGCCTCGAGCCCCCTCCCCTCCCCCGCCCGCCCTGGGAGGAGGAAGCCCGGCCTGCGTTTGCCGGCGAGGCGGGTCAGGCCGGCGCCTGGCTTGGCTCGGACCCCCGCAGCCCGGCTCTCCGCCTCGGGCCACGCGCCGCAGCCTCTCCGGCCTCGCTCCCTTCCCCCTTCCTTCCCGGTGGGTCCCAGGACCGACCTCAGCCCTCCCTCTCCGGTGTCCCCCTCCCCTCCTTTTCCCTCCCCCACCCTGCTCTGTGCTCCTGGCTCTGGGGCTGGGCCCGTGACGTCAAACCCAGTGTGGCGTCGGCGAGACTGGCCGGCGCGGGCCATCAAAAGAGCAACGTCCTCTTTCCCAATTACCCACTGTCAGTCCGGGAACAGGGGCGGACCGGCTGGGAATTAAATGTTAAATACCCCCTACAGGCTGGCTCCATTACCCTGGGCATCCAGCCCCAGACCCCCCACCCCTCTCTGCCAGCCTCAAACCACCTAGACCAAGAGGGGCCTTCGAGATCTTTTATTTTTCTAAGGCGGGGTGGGGGGTGCGGGGAGGGGGTGGCCTTCTCCATCCCGTTGCGGTCGCACTCGGTGCTGGTGATTGAATTAAAACGAATAATCCTCCCCCCTCCCACTACCAAAGTTATCAGAGGGGCGCCCCTACACCGGGAGGCCTCCTTCTCACACACATTTTCTTTTTGTCTTTTAAAATCGTTCTTAGCCTCCGAAGCTAACATTTAAGTCCTGGCGTCAGCAGCTTTTTCGGCCCGAAGACGGCTCCCTTTTGCCCTTTCTCGGGCTTCTAGGTCTCAGCGCCCAGGACCAAAGAGCTACATTTAGGGTTTTTCCGCGTGGTCGTGAACTAGGGTCAGGCCAGGCTTCTAGGTCTCAGCGCCCAGGACCAAAGAGCTACATTTAGGGTTTTTCCGCGTGGTCGTAAACTAGGGTCAGGCCGGTTGGCGTGTCTCCGTCCCGACTGGTGCGGGAAGAAGCATTTCATTTTTTTCTTTCAGCTTCCATCCTTATTCATCTCGGGCCTCAGCAAAAACGTGTGTGCGTTCGTGTCTCCTTGTTTATGGAGTGGTTTCCGGTGAATGTTAGACAGCAACTAAATAATTAAAAGGTTTGGAGAGCGCCGTGATCAGGAGGAGATGTGCAGCTCGACTGGCCCAGGAGAGATGAGCGGTCAAAGAGCGAAGGGAAAATCGATGCTCCTTGGCTGGGCCGCCCTAATAAACGGGAGACCAGGTGGGCTCAGGAGAAACGGGGCGGGGGGGGGGTTAAAAAAATGAAGAGTTTTTCTTCCTGTTCTCTATCTAGAAATTCAACCCTGATTTCAAACCAACATCCGATTTAAGAAAGCGAGGCCTCAAGCTCCAAATCCAAGACCGGGAGGGTGCACGTTTCCACTACTTCTTCCCAATAAATTGTACTAATCTTTCTGCAAGGATGGCGTTTTGAAAGCAGACATGCCCCACGCACCAAGCTGAGGTTGAATGTTGACCTTTTTCCTTCAGCGTATGAAGGGAATCCTTCAGGACTTACTTTTAGGGCAGGCTTCTTCTATCCAGACTTTTTATATTTGTAGGGAATTTTTATGGGGTAGAGGAGCGAAGAGGGAAACGGTGTCTTCGCTTCGAATAAAACCCCAAATCAAGTTCTCCGCCGCGTCGGTGGGAAAGCCTGTGGGAGAACCCACACTCTGTGCTCGCACACGTTGCCCCGGGTGAGCAGAGGGCGGACCTGGAGTCTCCTTTTCCCGCCTGACCCCTCTCGCCCGGGCCGCGTTTTCGGGCCGGCTGCTGCAGGAGCCTCGGCGCCGCTAGGGGATGCAGTGGCTCAAAGGACCGACCCGGGCCGGGCAGGTTGGAGCCCGCGGGGCGGGCCAATCGCCGCCCGGCCGCAGCCTCGCCCGGTGATTGGCCCTCCCCTGGCCCCGCCCCGGCCCCGCCCCTCGCAGGCCTTCTCGGAGCCGCGCTCCCTCCACCCCGGAGCCCGCTGGGCAGAGCGTGGCCGGGAGCCCCGCGGAGCCCGGGGACGGTGGCCGCTGAGCGCTGCCCGGGTGGCCGGCGTGAGGGTCGGTGGAGGGGCTGGTGTTCTCTGCTGGGGGAGAAACGCCGGGAGCCGGAGTAAGTAGGGCTCCGGGCGGGGCGAAGGGAAAAGTTCAGTAACTGGCGTGCACTTGGGGAGCGAGTCAGTCTCTCTCTCTCTCTGTGCCCCCTTTTCGTCCCTCATTGTTAGTCGAAAGCACACATCGATTACGAATATTAGTCGGGAAATGGCTGCTGCAACAGCTAAAGCATATTCATTGCGAACGCAAAAGAAGAACGTTGGAAAAACAGAAGTAACAGACGTGCCCATCAAAGGCGTATTCCCTTCGCCTGATTCCCCAACCTTTTAGAAAACTGGCCCGAAAGGCAAATCTCAGAGTACCTTGACATTTACAAAAAAATTTTTTTGGGGGGGTCAGTTTTACGTGCACATAGCCCCAAATCGATAAACTCTCCCCCATACTCTGGATTGAATAATAATAATAAACGTTTGCCCATTTAAAAAAGTCTGAAAAAGAAAAGTCTGTCTGTTGAAATTAACTTTATGAATGGGGCAGGCTGGGTTCACCGGGACAGAATAATCCACCGAGCCCGAATGAATCGGCCGGAGCTGGAGCCACATTTAAAGGGCCAGAGCGTGAATTCCCTCCCGCCCGTCCCCTCCGCCCCCAACCCCTGCCGGCCTCGCCCACCCTGCCCGCGGCCCCTCCGCCCGCGGCCGCCCTCCGCGGCGCCCCTTTCCGGTCAGTGGAGGGCGGAGGCGGGCCG